CCCAGCCAGCAAGGCTGGCTGGGGAATTCTGGGAGTTGAAGTCCACACAGCTTAAAGTTGCAGAGGGTGAAAAACACTGGTCTAATGTGTTGTGTATACCTATGTGTGCACTTCCTTCCCAGGCACTAATCAGGGTATATGCATTCACATTGCTTTTGTATATGTGTTGACTGATGCCAAATTAAGGTTCTGTTTTTAGAAAGTAGCCCAACTGACAGATGGACAGGCCAAGTTCCAACTCCCTTTACCTCATTTCTTTCCAACATTTCACAGGGTTGGGAAGAACTAAAACACTGCGAGCTCCTACGGACTTCCTTCCCACCTTTCTCCAGTACATCTGCTCCTCATACTGGTCTTTCACATGCTGATTAAAAGTTACTGGTTGAAACTCTGCTATTTCATTCATCCCGGTTTAATTTCCATACATTTCTTTTGCTCGCTACCACAAGCTGTGGCATAGATATATTTTGGGTGGGGGTGGGCAGTGAGAATCCCCAGTTGTGCCGAGTTATATTTGAATAGAAATTTTGGGAGAAAGAAATGCCTCTGTCTAAAAAACCTCAGGTTTTGTTTTGCCTTAGTGACTTAAATTCGCCCATAGTATTGACATGGAGACAGGCATTCATCCCATAGGTTCAGTCCATTTCTCTGGAGTTTTGATTGATTCCTAAAGAGGAATTCACCTGGATTTTTTTTTTCCCAAACAGAATTTTTTTTCATCAACAAACTCAGCTTGGATGCGTTGTGTCTTATTTCTTGAAATGTCAATGGGTGTGTTCCCATTCCAGTGGAAACTTTTAAAAATATAATGGACATTCGTTTGGTATTAGAAATATAAAATGTTGCCTTATATTGGTTGAATTCATGCGTCATGATAACCAGCATAATAATTTCAGCTACAATTTACTAATCCAGAACAGAGTAATTTCACACAACATGCTAACCCCAAAATCATAATACATAAACCACAGTGGAGAGTTATCTATAGACCACTATGCCAATTGAAATAAACTGTCTTATGACTTAGTGTGTTGTATGAACTGAGCTAGAGAGAACATTGGCTTGCATCCATAAATGTATTAAGAGGTCATGCCTTTCCCAATCTTTTCCCAGTGTTTAGCAGCAGATAGACTGTATGGATGATTGATTGATTGTATGCCATGTTGACTCTTAGTGACCACAAAGATAGACCTTCTCCAGGATGAAGAGCATATGAGTAAATTGCCATTAAACATCTTCAGCAAGCCACCTCCCAAATCAGTTTTTCCATTGTTGAACAGCTCTTACCATTAGGAAGTTCTTGACTGATGTCCAGCTGAAACCTTGCTTTTTTGAAATTTAAAGCCATTGTTTCTTGTCCTCTCTTCTGGAACATCTCTGAACAATTCTACCCTGTTTTCTGTGTGATAGTCCTTCAGAAACATGAAGATGGCTGCTATACATAAACTCTAATCTTCTCAAAGCAAAACATAGGTAACAAACTGAACTGTCCCTTATAGGCTTTTCCTTCCCATATCATTTTGTGGCTCTTCTCTGGACACCTTCTCTTCAGTCAGTGTGCTTCCTAAAATGCAATCCCCAGAGCAGATATTCTAGGTACAGTCTGACCAATGCAGAATAGAGAACAATGACTTTGTAGGACTGTGTTTACTTTTTTTGCAGCTATATCACACTGTTGGCTCATGTTCAGCTTGTGATCCACCAAGACCCCCAGATTTTTTTCACGTGCTATTATGCAATATGGTCTCCCTCCTCATATCCTCATTCCTTTGATTTTCCCTTCACACAGGGAGGATGTTCCATTTATCCCATTTGTGCTGCACATTCTTTTATGTTTCACTTTTATTAAGGTGCTCCCATTCATCTGAAGCCTCTAAAAATTTACTTTCTTCACCCAAAAAATGTATTTTCCCCACACTGTCAAACAACATGTTACCTTCCAAGTGTCATAAACTGACTCCTTAAGAATCTGTTCCGGAGTTTTGCCTGACATCAAGGTCAAACTGACCTGTCTGTTGATACCCAGGGCTCTTTCCCTGCCCTTTAAAAGGCAACAAGGTTTGCCACTTGCCAATCCTTTGGCACTACAGACAGTCCTTGTTTATTCACTGCCTCGCTCAGCGACTGTTCAAAGTTAACAACAGTGCTGTCCCTCAGCCATGTGATCACCATTATATTCAGTACATGTCCTGTGCCTGACCTGTTGTTTTTCTTCCCCCCCCCCCCACCTTGCAGAGCGGAGAGATTGGAAAGGAAGGGATTACAAGAGAGTAAGCAGGTACAGAATGGGGAATACACATCAAAAGCAGTGTGTTGGCACAGGCAGCCTGGTGTATTCCCCGTTGTGTGCCTCCTTATTCTCCTGCAATCCTTTCCTCTCCAATCTTTCCGCTCGGGGGGGGGGGAGTGTTCTTTATAGGCAATCTCTCCTGTATCTGACCCATTCCCACCCCCACCCCCCCATAACATTTGCAACTGGGACAGTAGGTAACAAGCACAGAGAGTCTTGAGGAATTCAGGATAAGACTGTCAGCAAAGCAGTGATTGGCATTTTTAACTCTCTATCCCAGAAAAGCAGCTTATACTCCTTGAATAACTGAGTCAAAACAGAAAACCAAGTACAAACTTTTTTTAATTAGATTCTCACAGCATGATGTATTTCTGTTAAACAATTTTACTAGGGGGTAAGCTTATTAGGTGGGATTTACTTAGGAGTATACAGGTAATCAAAATTCTTAATAAAAATTATATTTTAAAAACATACAGTAGTAGGACATAAAAAGAGCAGTTTGGCTGAGGCAAGGCAAGATGTGATAGAACATACACATGCAGAAGAGGACATATTTCCTTTCCCTAAATAACTGAGTTGAAAAATATTTAATTGATCCTAAATACATTTTTCAACTGCCCTTCAGTCTTAGCAAATCAAAGGTGTAGCTTATGTAAGTTATCTGCTGCAATTTCCTATTCACAATAATACAAGATAAAGGAAGGCTTGTAAGAAACAAAACTTTTTTTTAAATCCCCCACCTCTCCCATGAACCAGACACTGTTGTGAAAACCAATAATGAAGAAAGAAAAATCAGCAAAGACATTGCTAGCATGGAGGGAAATGGAAAAGATGTCCTTTCTACATTTTCAGGTCAAACTGTTGCTAAGGGCAAGGCACATAATTCATTAAAATTAGAGAGGGGGAGAATGAATGAATAGCTGATGCTGTAAACCGTATTGTAAATGTTCATGAGACATTGGTCTCCAGTCCTAGCAATCTCCTGTTTTTGGGTTTTTTTTTTTTTAAATAAGGCATTGTGCACAAACACTTTCCTCCTGTAGTTTTGTAAACCAGAGCTTCCCCTCCCCACATATTTACATTTTCTTTTGCCTGCAAGATTCATTTGCAAGTTTTTCAGGGCATTTTATCCAGTGAGAAGCAGCCAGGATGCATAGAAAGAAAATGATTTTCTCCAGATTGTTGGTAACTTCCCCCAAATAAGGATTTGAAAGTTACACACTCAGGAGGGGAAGTACTGTGAAGTAATGAATGTAAGAGTCACTTTGCTATCAGGTCGGGCTAACTTCTTCTAGCAGTTAACCTTAATATTTCAGAACTCTTGGAAAAGTCGAAAATCCTAGTCTGATGAATAAATTGCCAACTTTTAAATTGTTCAGTGTACTGGTGCATTTAAGAGAAAGAGGCATGTTTGCACCAAGGTAAGTAGCCCATTGTACTTGACATGTGAAAAACTTCACTTACCTGTACTTTGCAACTCCAGCTACTGTTGAAAGGACACAAACCAGCATTTTTCTTTTGTCTATCCATTGTTAATCAGGATTGGAGTTCATATTTGAATGATCCAAGGCTGAAATCTTGGTGTGTTTTTTTTTTAATTACTTGCCTGCTTGAAATTGGCACATGTAAATTAATTTTCCAATTAGTTTGGCACATGTGCTCCATTATAGACATATCAATCTTATAGTGATGAATAAAACAGAAATCAAAGTCTAAATACAATGTACTTTGGCTTCAACTGCTCTGAGTTTTTAAATCACTTTACATATAAAATATAGATACACACACAAACACACAACAGGTCCTTGTTTAGTGACCACAATTGGGACCAGCAACTCTTATTAAGTGAAGTGGTCACTAAGTGAAACCATGACTGTACTTCCAATCTGACTTCAGTTTTACTTTGCTTTACAGACCTGTGAAGGTCATCAATGCGAGGATTGGTCACAAAGTTATTTTTCATCAACTGCAAATGGACGCTGTCCAAGACAGTTGCTAAGTGAGGACTACCTGTATAATGCCATATTTATTCTGATCTCAGGTCAAACTGGTCAGTTCTCTTTTATGATTGATAAATTAGTTTTATACAGAAGACATAAACACTTCAGATGCAGGTAGCCAGATGTTATTCTATAGGATTCAATTCTTGGTAGAGGGTTTGAACTACCTCTGTCTGAAGAGTCCCAATAAAGGATAAAACCAGGCACGTGATCTGGTAGTCAGTGTAACTGAACAATACCACACAGTACTGTACAGTATATTATGCAGTTTATGATGTGAGTAGATTAAAGCCTTCAGGATGTTTCATGGCTGATGTTGTCATGCCAGAAAAGAAGATCCAAAGCTGCAAAGACAGAACTACAGTGGGAACATGGAATGTAAGACACATGAACGTGGGAAAGCTCAACCCAGTGAAAGATGAAATGAATTGACTACACACTGACCTC